AAGGAATTGGTGTTAGCTTTATTGGGGGGGGGGGATTAGAGTACTATGAGAGGCACACATGTGGGTGCCCACAATGTCCTGATAAAATATTGGTGCAGAGTATGTGCTCTGTAGCCAGCTGTGTTGTACAATTTATTTTAATCTTATTCTACAACATACTAGCTATGTGAATTTAGCAAGTTGTTTGAAGCATAATATCCCTGTGTTCCTCGCTTTTTAAAAGAAACTAATATATCTACTTTGGGAAGTTATTATTATGACAAAAAGAGACACACAAGAAAATAGTCTTTAGTGCAGTGCCTGGAACATAGTAAACATGCAACAAGTTCACTTCCCCTTATTAGATTATATTTCACATTGGTAGTGTTGTCATGAGCAGTGAGAACACATGAAAAAGAGAATAGAAACAATGCATGAAAACTAACAAGAGTAGTTATTTGCTATTTCTTCTACCTTTATTTATCTTCATCTACTGAGCACACAAACATTCTAACTAGCACACTCAATTCTACTTTTTAAGTTATAGTTATAGGTTCTTGTCTAGTGCCTGACACAGAAACATTCTGAACAACACTAACCATGGCCATCCTTAATCCAGTTGTGTAACTGTTCATCCACTCTAGTCTTTTGATGCCCATTTGATAGAGCATAAATACAAGGACTGCAGACCATGAACTTAGTTTATAACTGGGAATTACTCAGGGAAGAAAGTTGTAGTTCCCAGTCCACAGCTGCAAAGAAATGGAGGGTTGAGCTTTTCATTCACTCATTCTTTCTCTCCAAATCCAAGTTCCAGTCAAACCCACTTAAACAGCCAATACTCACCTAATATTGAGGATTAGGCCAAAGGGAAAGAAGAAAAATATGGTGCAGACTCACAGAAAATCTGTAAAGGCAAATAAGCCAACCAAGGAAATGAATGGAAGGGAAGGAACTCGTGGAAGGGTTGCTTCCTCTCGCATTTATTTTCTCTGATCACTGCTCAATCAGGGAAAGAGATCATCAAAACCCAGGGGGTGCAGGTTCCCTCTCTTCTCACTCTCAAGGGAAGAAAATGAAGACGTTCTATTAACCCACACAACCGCTTCAAGGTGCAAGATGCTTTTTCTTTATTTATTTTGCATTTGCCTTTGTATGTAAGCTGATATGCATGTGGGTGGAAGGTCATATATGTATGTGCCTATCTATTACCTAGGTTTCAAGTTCATGTCCTCACCAGAGAAAGTACCTTG